CAGACCTTCCAAACCCCTCATCAGAAGCCACTTGTCAAACCCCAAACCTCCGCAGCTTCCAAACCCCTCATCAAAAATGTCATGAATCATAAGGCGCAACTCACCCTGTCTGTACTCGGCGTTTTTCTCTGCCAGAGTCTCGATCGCCTGGAAGGTGGCCCCTTGGTAGAGCATGCTGGTCACGTCCGTGAACACCCTGAAGTGGCTGCCGCGCATCTCTGATGGCGCCTGATAGTAGAGCTCGTTCACCTCACGTCGAAGGGTGCAGCATTGGTTCAGATCCGACGCTCTCGTGCAGTACCAGACGCAGACCTCCACGTGAACGATGTCCGTGTCATTGTAGACAGACGCCTTCACTGTCTTCCGACGCCAGTGAAAACCGCAGGGCAATTCCTTTGACACTGGAGGATCCTGGCTGAAGAAGCCCTTGGTGGATAGGTCGAGCATCTCCTTGGCTCGGGAGGTGGCGACAAGAACCTCGTCGTCGTCGATGACCTCGGCCTTCTTTGGGGGGAGTTTGGAGCAGGAGTAGCGCTGACAGGAAGGTGTGCAGACGTGCACGGCTCTGCCAGTGTGGGTGCAGCCCTTGAACTCCTTTGCCTCGATCGTCCTTGTGTGCGCGTACAATGAGCGACACTCGGAGCAGACCATGGCAAACACGTCCTTATCCTTGGGAGGTACCGGAGTTTTGAGGGGGACGTCAGCCCACTCGATGGCTGGCTTCCCCTTGTAACGACGTTTGGTGGTGATGTCCGGAGGCACGAAGGGCTTTCCCATGATTTGAAAGGCGTGCCAGCACTTTGGGTTGCTTGGGTCTTCCTGGCAGACATAGTCCTCGCCCCTCTTGGCGCACATGACCCACCTCTCCTTGTTGTGTCGGATGGCCCAGAACCCTTTCAAACCTTTGTCGAGCACCAGGCAACCCGCGCTGGTGAACTGATCCTTGGGGATGATGGGGGGTTTGAGCGCCTGGACCCTCACCGTCTTCAGCACTTGCTTCAGCACTTTGAACGTGGATACACTCCCCGGTGCACTTGGGGCAACTTAGGACCCCATCGCCGCCGGTGTGCCCCGGGCGACACGTGCTGACCGGTCTGGGGAACTTTGGGGGGTGGGTGGCCTTGGGTATGATCAGTCGAAACGTCCCATCCTTCTGGGGCTTGAAGTCGGGGATGAAGGCGACGAATGCTTTGGGGTGGAGGCTAAACAGCCGGAGTGATACGATCTCTGTAGATAGATCCTCAATGTTCTTCTCGCGGGCAAGTTTTTGCTCGACGATCGCGTCAGCTTCAGTCAGCGGCGGGGCCACCAGCGGGGTCTTCTGTTTCTTGGGGGGGCTGGGGTTTCCCGGGGGTAGGGCTTCCGCCTCCCGCTTCCGAGTCTCGTGAATCACTTCCCCCTTTTTTGTATGAGGACAGTCGGGGTGGCATTTGCCCCTGTTTAAGGAACAGTGCCAGCACCCCGAGCGGGCCTGCTCCCAGGACATGTCTTCGCGGCGTCTGAAGGCACCGTCGACGCCGTCCAAACCCCCGGGGATTAGGCCTGTTCTCAGGCAGTTGGCGCACCAGACATGGAGGTAGGGGCTGGGCTGGTCGCTGTTACGTGCCCGCTTAGGCCTCCATTACATTGGACCGGTTCGGTTGGAGCAGACGTCAGCAACCAACCGACTCGGTTGGAAGGCAGCGGACCGGAACCGGGAACGTCGTTACATTGCCCATGGTTGCGTTGGGACTGGCTGACATGCACCGTCGATAAATCAGGTGCCGCTTATCTTACGGTCTGAAGTCGGATCCGGCACTGTCAAAAGAACCTCTCTCATTGGTCCGTCAGTTCAAATTCAAAATGACCCGGGAGCTACTGGTCTGTCTTTGCACAGTTTGGACGCCACAGCAGAAGATTGATTACTTAGAAGATCCAAAAATTGAGAGCGGAGGGACTTTCTCCGGGCTATCTTCAGTGCTGTGCTTGCTGTGGTCAGCGCGGGTTTGCCAGTGCAGCAACTCTGGGTGATCCTCGTTGACTCGATCAGTTTCAAACAGTCTGATCACTTGGTTCAAGCGCTCACAATGGGAAGCCAGAACTTGGACATGTCTCGCTTCTCCCAGATGTTCAGGCTTGAGCAGCTCTAGGAGCTCCACGCGGCTGCGATTGCTCAACAGCGGAAGCCTGCCAGCCCGGTCCAGAACTTGACTCCAGAAGAATTCATGAGGCAGCATGGCATCGGCTATGGCGTTGGAGACTTCAGTCAAGCGGTGGCGGACGAAGATGCTGAGTTTGCTGACGAGCAGGCTCCTCCATCTGTTGCTGCTAGGCATACTTTCTTAGGTACTCGTGCTTTCCGCCCTTTAACCACCAGCCCTCAGGTTTTCCCAGAGAGCGAGATAGCGTTTGGCCAGTTCTCTTCTCCTGAGGTGCAGGTCCCTGAAACTCAGCCTGATTGTGAGGTGACTGGGTTTGCTGGGAGCGAGGGGCATGTCACTGGCGTTGCATCAGATCAGCAGCATGGAGGAGTTGCTGCTCGGCAGGAGCATGAGCCTCCGTCAACTCAAGAGGGCCGCGGGGGCAGCCACAGGAAGGGGAAGGGGGCAAGTAAGGCACCGGCAGTGAGTGTCAAGCCGCCAGGTGTCACCAAGGCGACGGGCAAGAGTGGCAGGCTGTATGTGCAGCGAGCGGTCTGGGGTGAGGGTCATTGTTTGGTCTTGGCTGATGGGAAGTTGTCAACAGATGTTGCTATTGAGGAGGATGGGGGTGTCCGCGCAAAGCACACAACAGCCAATACCAGATGGGACTTGGTGGAGGATTACTGCTTCGCCAACGGGGTCCACCGTTCTGCTTCAAGCTGCAAAGACAAATGGGAGAATCTGTTGGGGGAGGTCAAGAAAGTCAGGGACTACCAGAGAAAGATTCCTTCTGGGAAGGATGGGTACTGGGCCATGGACTCGGCCGCAAAAAGAGAGGCTGCCCTTCCCCCGAACGTGTCGCAGAAAGTTTACGACCGTATCGTGGAAGCTCTTGGGGGCACTGCAAGCATGGACCCCCCCTCAGTCCTCCAGTCAGGCAGCGCGTCAGCTCCGGATAGCGAGGAGGAGGCCTATTTGGCAGGGGAGGGGCCTGACCCTGCGAAGCGCACCACGGGGTACCGCAAGAGGGCATGGGGTTCAGCTAAGAAGGAGCTAATTGGCACCTTGAAGGAGAACGGTGCTAATTTGGGCGATCAGCTCAAAGCAAGCGAGGAGGGCAAGGAGAAACGGTTCAAGGAGAGCATGGAGTTTGAGGATAGGAAGTTGAGGCAGCAAGTCGAGCTTGAGGAAAGGAGACTCAAGCATGATGAGATGCTTGGGGGGGCAATGCAGATGATGGCACAAGCATTTGCACAAATGGTGCAGCAGAATGCGCGGCGAGAAATGTGAGGAGCTGGAAAGAGCTCCATCAAAACAACAAAACTGGTGTTTTCTAACACCACCCTTCTATTGAGATTTTTTCACACGAACTTAGAGTAGCTTTGAGCTTGCCTTGAAGAGATTCTGAAACCTCGAGCTAATATTTGAGGGAGGTGGAATCTGCCACTTCATGCAGACTTCTCTCATAAGCTTTGCTTTTATATTGGCCTTTCGAGTTGAAGCTTGAAGGCTCTTACGATTTCTCTGATCTTGATGGTCCTTCTCTTGACGTTGAAGCTCCAATTGTCTGATGATTTGAAGCTTTGCTTTTTTGTGTCCCGTTGAAAAGGTGATTAAAGAGAATACTTCAAGACCAGAACAAGAAAGCTTGTCTTGATACTAGTTTCGAAGCTGATAAAGGTGGTATCTTTGGCTAGCTTCTAGCTTTTGATACATGACCAGAATCACCCGGCTTCTTTTCAAGCTGATCTGACGGCAACACTGATTCAGACAATTGAAAAGTCTGCAAGGCACTTGATTCACAGCAATGAAGTCTCACGTCAGCTCGAAGCGAAGAAAACAAATTCTGTTCGGAGGGTGGTGTTGTAAAACACCAGGTTTGGTAGTACAGCGGGGTCAGCAAACTTTCCCCAGTGCTCAACAATGCCAAAAGCAATGCTCAGCAAGTGCATCTCGCACAGCAAGAGCATCGCGGTTGCCTCTCCCTCCAAGCGGACCAGCTGGTCTACCCCCCCCCTCAAAGTCAGGTAAGGGTACCTCTGTCTCGTTGATGTAGTCTCCCCTGTCCAATATAATGTTGTGAAGCACAGCGCAGGCCCCTATCAATGTTGGCAGGAAGAATAAGTCTGGCTTGTAGATCCTCCGCATTAGATATCTCCATATCCCCTTCAATCGGCCAAAGGCAATCTCCACAATTATCCTGGTGGATGAGTGGAAATAGTTGAACCGGTCGCGAATGTCTGGAAGGTGGTCACCAGGGTAAGGAACTACCAGCCAGTATAGGCATGGATATCCTGAGTCTCCAACAATATATTGCGCCACCTCCACCCCTCCTACCACCTCAGTCGGTCCTGCCAACCACTCGCCAGCCAGCACCTTCTGATACAGCTCAGAGTTCCTCAAGATTCTGGAATCGTTCGCGCTTCCTGGCCAACCCACTGTAATGTCCAAGAACTTCCCGTTGGCATCCACCACAGCTTGCATAGTCATGCTATAATTGTGGTCTCTATCAAACCAGCAAGTGGCGGACGCTGAGTTTGGCAACTCAAGGACAAAGTGTGTGCAATCAACTGCCCCACAGCAGTTAGGAAGGCCCCTCTTCTCTTTGAATCCTTGAATCACTAGCTCCATCTCAGCCTCAGTCGATGGCCAAGAAAGATGCTGAGGTCGTAAGGTGGACCAGACAGCCCTACAGAACTTTCTGCTTGTGAGGCTGACAGTGCCCTCACTGACCCCAAACAGCTCACTGATTAAGAAGGTAGAATGACCAGAAGCGAGACGGTTGAGTGACATGGCAATCTGGCGTTTTACGGTCAACACTCGGTTGGGGATCTTGGAAAAGGAGAATGGTACATTGGTTTGTAGATCAGTTGTGAGCTCGTCCACGAGGTACTGGAAGGTATCTCGACTTACTCTGAAGAGCCTGTGCCATCTCTCATCGTCCAATTCATCAGCTTCAAAGGAGTCCCACCAAGCTATGCTCCGAGGCTTGATGTAGTGAACGCCAGTGGTGTCCTTATCAAGAGGGAAGGTGTTCGGATCTGCTCCTGCGCATGCTTCTGCCCCAGCGATCAGGAAGATAATCTCTGAGTCGTCCTCCTCCCAAAAGACAGAGCTGGGAGTTGCAGAGTGCTGAAATGCTGAGCGCACTGCAGCGTTGGACTGGATGATGGCTACTGTCGCCTGCAACAAGGAGAGAAAAATTCCCCAGAAAGCAAGGTCGCTTCCGTCCATGGTGTCCTTCTTGAAATGAAAAGCTTTGTGAACCTGGCACAAAGTATAGCTGTAGCCTGTAGCTTCCTCGAAATATTGAAAGGCCAGATTGAAACTTGCTTCCTGCGTGATTTGAATTCTGATTCTTGCAGTCACTCCCGCCTAGCTTGCGGTGACAGTCTGGACAGTTGCATTGTTGCTTCGTAGGTATGCTGGCAGGTGTCGCGCCGGCCGGCCTGACCACGTGGCACTCTGGGTTTTTCATGCCAGGCCGACAGTCTGCACTCTCCACTCTATGAATGCGTCCAACCGGAAACAACTTTGACCAAAGGACCTCTGGTAGGTCCTTTGGTCAACGCTACTTTCGGTTCCGTGATTGTCGGGAGTTTTTGAGCCCAAAGACGGTGGTCCAACGACGGTTCGGTCAGCCGACCCAACTTTTGCAATGCAAACACCGGTTCCGGTTGGACGACGTCAGCATTTCCAACCGAACCGGTCCAATGTAATGGAGGCCTTAGGTGGCCCGGCCTTGGTGGGGGTAGGTACACCGGGCGGACGTGTCAAACTTCACGAGTGCACGGTAACAGTCCTACGGTAATGCTTTCTGCTTCAAACAGCGCTGGCGTGTGGGTGCGACTCGTTTAGATCCCTGCTCCAAGCTTGAGTAAGGGAATGCGTAAGGAGACGAACATGGAAGCGAAACAGGTCCATGCCTCCTCAGTGGCAGCTGTGGATGAAAAAGAGAAGGAACTCAGCAAAGCTCCAGGAAATGCAGTACAGCAGTGGAGGCATCAGCGGCCCAAAAGGAGAAAGAGATGAGGGCCGAAATGAAGGCAGCTGTGGAGGCACAAAAGGAGAAAGAGATGAAAGCCAATGTAAAGGCGGCTGTGGAGGATTCAGTGGCCAAAGGAAAGAGGAAGATGAGGGCAGAAATGAAGGCAGCCGTGGCTCAGAGGGGAAAAGAGATGAGGGCCGACTGTGGAGACATCAGTGGCCCGAATGAGAAAGAGATGAGGGCCCACATGAAGGCGGCTGTGGAGACGAGAGAGACTGAAATCAGGTATGAATCGCCGGCAGTAGAATGCAATGTTTTGGGTCGCCGTGTATGCAGAGTTGTCTGACAGGATCTTTTTGTCTATTTCTGCTGACACATTCACAACATAATTCGCGACATCCAGTCCTAATTTCTAGCTGTAAGTCCATACTCCGAGGACATGGGCATATGGTTTATAACAATGTAGATGGCTCTCATAAAAAGCATCAAGCACATTGGGCCGTATCTGACGAGGCGGGTAATGTCTGGATACACTCATACTACTTACATTGCACCCCTGCACGATCGTTTACTTATTTCCAAAGTAATAATACACCACATCATCTCAAGATTAATACTCCCCCCGCTTTCTTGCGCTGCTATATCAGAACTTCGCAATCTTGTTGTTCGCGCGGCGTCTATGCTATCATGTCCCCCTTGCTCAGCTATACCAAAACAGCGTTGAAGCCCAACATTTTAACCATTATTTTTGTACCCCGCTGGCGGAGCTGTGCTCGGCGTCCGCGACATGATCTCCTCCTCGCTCAGCAACACCAGAAATTAGCATCTAAGAAGGTGATCTCAACCCCACTTTTTTTACCCCGCGGGCGAAGCTTTGCTCAGCGTCTAGGAGATGATCTCACCCTCGCTCAGCACTACCAGAAATCAGCATCTGAGACAATGTTTTTTAACCATGAACTTTTTTCACCCCCGCCGGCGAAGTGTCGCTCGGCATCTACGAGATGATCTTCCCCTCAGTTGACGATTTCAAAACGCCGCATCTAAGACAAGATTTTGATCATAAACTTTCAATCCCGGCCGGCGAAATTTTGCTCGCCGTCTACCAGATTTCCCTCTTGCTCAGCAATACCAGAAACATCATTCAAGAAACGTTTTCGTAAGACCGTAGACTCTAAAACCATGCCGGCGGAGCCTGCCTGGACGTTTGTGAAGTCATGCTTCCAAAAAGTACGTCTGACAGATTGCTGGTAAGAACGGGCTCGCCGACTCCAGATGAAAGTGCTGCACAAAGGGGAGGGAGTCGTGATTCGGCGAATGGCAAAATGTGAGTCGGCGAATGGCAAATTATGTGCAAGGGATCCAACCACCGCCAACTCACTAGAATAACGCATTTTTCTGGTAACGATTGCAATTCAGCAAAAAGCCTGTCTTTGGAATCTCACCAGATTCACCACCCACAGAGTTGACGCCAACGGGACTTGGAAGAATGGCCTCAGCTGCGTAGAGGGAAACTTGTCTGGCTGAGCATACTGTCACCGACTTCGTCAAAAGCGTGGATTGTGTTCCATAGCATTGATAAGGTGGTCACGTCCTTTTGTTGCGAATCATGTTCCAACGGAAGAAGCAACCCCTATCTTCTAAAACAGAGGAAGCAGCCTTTGACAGGCTCACCCGGCAATGAATTGCAGCCGGTTGATTGAAAGACATCAACAGAGAAGTCCAGTGACTCCAAAGTTCGTAAGTCGAGTCCCTTCCCGCCGGTGCCGTCTGCGCTGACATGATCTGCGTGGAAAAGAAATCTTTTAAATCACACATACTTGTTGTAGAGAAAGTGAATCGGTAGTCGGATCAGGTAAGACATGTGCATCTAATTGTGACGTTGGAACGTGCTTCCCAACAGAATCGTCGGATCTCATGTGATTCGCATTCGGCTAAAGTCACTCACCGCTTTTCCCGTCCTGAAAGGGGGCAGCAGTTCTTTCCTGGGATAAGCCCAAGCCTGCATGCAAAGAATATCACCTCAATCAGCACAGACTTCAGTCAATATCCATCAAAAGCAAGCGGACCATTACCATCACTCTAAATCAAAAGCTTGCATTTGCTTTCACGTAGGACAGCCATACGGGGTCCACTGGCAGCCCTTCAGCAACAAGCTGCATACCCAAACTCACCTGCGGCTGGGGTTTCCATGGCACACAATGTGCGAATTGCGTCTTTGAGTTCTAATTCTTTGGCTTCATTCACTTGTTGAAGGAACGTCACTTTAACATTCAGCCTTCGGTTCTGCTCTTCTAAGAGTTGAATTCTGATGTCTTGGCCGTCCATGCGGCTAGTCATCTCCTCGTGCCTGTGACAACAGAGGACACGATCACTACAATTGTCAATACATGTGAGTAGTCCTACACACACAGAAGCATCGCAATTATCTGCTTTTGCTTTGGCTGCAATCTGCAGATCGAGTGGAGCGCCCGTAGAGCGATTCAATCATCCAATTTCAGGGACGTGCATTCTGTTCAGCTTCCGCTTACCATCGCTTAAGTGCAGCCTCGTCACAAGTATTACGAGGGGGTGACGTGTAGGAGCGCATTCCGCACTGTAGTTTGAGAGCTCGGACGGCGCGTCGAAGGGAGCGCAACGCGCCGTGCTGCGGGCTGTTCAGAAGGGGATGTTCAGAGCGACAACAAGTGGCGCCTAGGCTGCTCCAGGAGGCGCCTTGTTGCTCGAGGACCAGAGAGCCTTCTTGTTCTTTGATCATGTGCGGTCTCTTCACCGTTTGTGAAGTGTCTCTGTCTGCAAACGTCGATGTGACGTCAACTAATCGAAAGCGTCTATTGTCTCGCTCCGATCTTCAGACTGAGGGGTTGCTACCCGCCCATGTGTCCACATCCGTGACTTGGAAAGGTTGAGGTTTTTGACGGTTCACTGCGCAGTTGCCTACGTGGAACTTGAGTGTTACCGGTATGACCACTCCCCCGGTCTGAATTTGTTGAGCCTTGACCCCGTGGAAATATGCCCGGCGATTTGGGCGGTTGAGGGGCACCGACACGCGTGATTAGTTTCCCGCATGGTCAACTCCCACATGGTTTCCCCTCCATGTAGGGATAATAAGAATACATGCTGTTTTATAGCCTAAAACTATGGACTTTGATAATTGGATGATGCACGGACAGATCGTGAGCATCATGGGTAGATCACTTCTTTCGCGACCTTGAAAAGTTGACTTTCTGATATGGCCGAGTCTACCCAACCCCAGTCTCAAGGAGGTTTATGATAGTTGCACATCATGTACAATATTGCAGTCTGCACGCGCGACTGAGCGTGCCCGTCTAAAGTGTGTCCCACCCTTACTTGCAGAAGTTCCGTGCAGGCATTCGGAAGGTTCCCACTCGATTGCTCGCGGTGGCACGCCCCGAGCCGAGCCGGTCTCAAATTCCCCCAGAGACGTACAGCCCGCTCCCTGAGGACCATCAGAGGCTAAGACAACGCTTTCAGCGAAAAAAACAGCTGCTGAGGTGAGGCCGGGCTTGAGGAACCGAGAAGCCGTAAGCTCGATTGACTGTCGTTGAATGTCCGAGCAGGATGGCTTGCATTATTGTGCTGGGTGGTCTTTCTCCGCCATTTTGCTTATCAGCTGGACTGTTTTCTCAGCTCCCATGTTCTCTGGGGTTCCCTGTTTCAAGCATCGACATCTGTCAGCTTGATAAGTTCAGCTTTTCAGTGAATCTTTCTTGCAGATTGCCCTAAACGTGAGCAAATTCCTGTCTGTCCAACACTGGGACTGCGCCAAGCTCAAGCTCAAGCTCAAGTCAAGCCCGTACTGACTGCTGTTTTAGTGAGAACAGCTGCTGAGGTGAGGCCGAACTTATGAGTCGAGAACCGGAAGCTATATTGACCACAGTGAAATGTCAGAGCAAGATGCTCTGCAGTAGTGTGTGGGTGATCTTTTCTCCGTCAAATGGCTTATCAGCTGCACTGTCCCCTAGCTCCCATGCTCTCCCAACAAGTTTCAAAAATCAACATCTGTCAGCTTGACCAGCATCAGCATCTCAGGTGATCTGTCTTGCAGGATGCCCGAAAGTTGAGCAGATTCCTGTCTGTCCAACACCGCCTCAAGACCGCTTCAATCTCAAGTCAAGCCCGAACTCAGCGCCCTATGAGGACTCAGCGCCCTTTGAGGGGAGAAAATAGTTGCTGAAGTGGGTTTGAATATTATATCGAGTATATTGCATTGTAGGTATAAGCAGGTGCCTTTGTAGGATTATACGGGGTAGTCTCTTTTTCTGCAAGTGCTTATTAGCTGTGCCGAGATTGTTCTTCTTAGCTCCCATGCTCTCTAGAAATTTCTTTTACAAGCGTCAGCATGTCTCAGCCCGGTCAGCATCATCCTCCCTTTTGACGAAACTGACGATGCCCCCGCTGTGCAGTTTGGAGCGATGGTGACCGAAGATCCGGCTTGGTACCCAGAGTTGAATTCGATTGATGGAATCAATCGTCGTCAGGTCATGAGGACATGCCCATCGACAGGGAGGTGTCGTCGGTGTCGGTTACTGGTCGTTGTGCGCGGGAAGAGGTCGACCAAATACAAGGTCAAGGTTAGTAATTTTGTCATGCGTCACAAATATCAAGTCAGGTGTTGGTTACGCGAGAGGGGTCTACCTATCTTCGACGAAGAGGATCGGATCAGACGGGAAGATGGCTTCAATGCAAACTTTTCGGTAGTCGACGACCCCGCAGCTAGCCTGGAATATGAAGGGATGTCGCCACCGGAGCAGCCCCAGCAGCCGAAGCAGCAGCCCCCAGAGGAGCAGCAACTGAAGTACGCAGGGGAGGGCGATGTGGGAGGTGGAGCTACACAGCAGCAGAGAGACGAAAGGAGCGGTCAGGTCAGCGAAGGAGTGTCTGCGTTTTGGGGGATCCCGGGATTTTCAGCCTGGCTGCGGGACTTGCCGGACATAGACGTGGACCTGAACAAGCTGGACTACAATACGGACCCGAACGACGAGGTGACTTCGCCGCCGTCGCTGCTGCCCGTTGTCTCGGACAAAGGAACCTGCCCATCCGTCGAGCTAGATTTGCGCCGGCACTTTCTGGTGGCAGCAACGAGGTACCTGATGCGCGTCGTGGGGAGCGCGAACGAGCAGTTGAAAGATTGCGAAGCAGCGGACCAGCAGATGATGCAGGAGATAATCGGGTCAAACGTGCGGTTGGTGATGGAAGTTCAAGGTTACATTCTGCAGTAGGAGTGCGGACACGAGTAAGCGCGAATCAATCTCTTCCTTCTTGGACGTCACCGCGGCCGGCACTCCGCGAGCTATCATAAGGCCGAAACGAATTGTGAGGGCCCATGTAGACTGTAGACCTTTGCGGGCTTACTGTAGTAATGTAGTATGGTAATGTAATGTGGTAATATAATAACGGGACTGAATCCAAAATGTAAAAATGTTTGTATTAAAGACCACAAAAGGAGCGAGTGTACAGTGCAGGTTACTTGGCAGACTCCTAGGATCTGAAGAACCCAGAACCCTGAGATTTGGCAACTTCGCTCGGTTCGTCGGGCACTTGCGAACCACTGGTTGAAATAATGATCGCATGCGTATGTACTTCTGCTGTTAATGTTGTATATCATCTTCTTTTGGTTTGAAGCGGCGCTGACTGTGTCGTAAGATTGTCGACAGAATCGTTTGCTTATCTATTGGCTTTCGAATGTAGTCCGACATGCCGACCCGACGACACTCGGCGGCATCGGAATCCATGGCATGCGCCGTCAAGGCGATTATGGGGATCTTGCCCGGCAAAGACCCTGCAGCTTCCATCGCCCTGATGCGGCGCGTGGCATCGTATCCATTCAGGCGCGGCATCTGCAAGTCCATCAGGATGGCCGAATACTCGTCCGGTGCCGCCACGTATGCATCCATGAGCTCTATGCCATCTGCTGTCATGGTCGGTTCCGCGCCCTCCTTCGTCAGCAAGCGTTCAATCAGCTTGCTTATTAGGCGCGTGTCCTTGGCGACTAAGATGCGCAGCCCCTTGAGCGGATTCTGTGACTCTAACGTGCTGACTATGGAGTCCTGAGCCCTGAACGACGCGGCCAGCCTGAGTCGGATCCAGAATCTGAACGTGGTGCCTTCGGGCCCGGTGCTGGCTACCTCTACGTCTCCTCCCATGAGTCTGCACAGGGACCGTACTATGCTGAGACCGAGCCCCGTTCCGCCGTGAACCTCTCGCACGTTCTCAGCCTGTACGAACTCGCGAAACATCGCCTCCTCCATGCCGTGCGGTATGCCGCACCCGGTGTCGCTGACCGAGATCTCGACCCTGCTCGACCCGTCTGGGGCGTCCGACGTTCGGCGAGCCGAGATGCCGATCTCCCCGCTCCTGGTGAACTTGACGGCGTTGCTCAGCAGGTTGTCCAGCACCTGCCTCAGCTTGCGCCTGTCCCCGATCACGTCTTCCGCCAAGCCGTCTCCGTAGCGAAGCCACGTCCGCACCTCTTTCTGGCTCACGAGAGGACCGATCCCGGCGAGCGCCCGCTCCAACTCCGCGCGCAGCTTGAAGACCTGTGCCTCCACGTTCGACTTTCCGGCCTCGTTCTTGGCCAGCATCAGTATGCCGTCCAACAGGTGCATCATGTCCTCCGCCGTCTTTCGCAGTAGCGCGAGATTCTCTTCGAACGCTTCGCCGCCGGAGTCCGCTTGCATCTCCTCCAGAAGACCCACGACTACGGCCATGGGAGTCCTCATTTCGTGACTGAGGCTCGCCAGCAGCTGCTGCTTCTTCCGGTGCATGCTCGCGTCGTGCTGGGCCGCGGCCAGGTGCGATCGCTCGCGGCTCCATATTCTGAAGAAGCAAGCGCCGATGATGATCGCGACTACGACGCACATCACTATCGAGGCGATGGACGTGCCCACGGTGAGGCGCTTGCTCCGCTCCAGCCGGGAGAAGAAGCGGTCCCAAGGCAGCAAGACGACCGCAGTGACGTCGAAGTCGGCGTCCAGTCTCTGCACTCCCGCTACGTAGCGCCGCCCGTCCACGGTTATGACCCCTCGGTGGTCCGCTCCGTCCTCGAGCTCCTCTCTGAGGCGCCTCGCGCTCCCCGAAACGAGCGGGTCTGGGCTGTCTCTCGCAAAGGTCCACTCGCCCGTCGCGTTCTGAGAGCGGCTGGAGGAGATGAGAGTCGCGTTCGTGCCGCTCACGACGTACACGTCGTAGTCCTCGGTGGCAGCGGGCCTCCGCGCGATGCTCGAGACGGAGAGGCCCACGTTGACAGCTCCGAGCAGCGCCGAAGAGGAGTCGGTCACGGCGGTGCTGATCGTGACGACGGGAGCGCCCAACACGCTGAAGTAGTGAGAGATGATGACGGTGCCACGCTGCGCGACCGCCCCGACGTACCAAGCTCGATTCTTCAGAGGGGGTACCGTTATATCGGACGTGGGGTCGGCGACGGCCGCCGCCCGGTCGTCCCTCACCAGAAAAGCCGTCAGCGTGGGCGAGCCCGGCGTGAGCCTGCGGTACTCGCTGTAGTTCCCCCCGGTGCGCACGAAGCTGACCGACGCGTTGGATTCGGCCTGGAATCCGGCGCTGCTGAAGCGATCATTACCCCTGAGAGTGCCCCACAGGACCGGACGAATGCCCTCCAACTTTTCCGGAGCGACCTCCAGAGTCGCCGCCACCGCCAGGGCGCAGCCCGCGACGGCCACCCTAGAGTCGTCGAAGGCGCGCCTGAGTTCGCGCTGAATGTCGTGCAGTACCTCCGCCTCGTAAGAATCGACGAGCGAGAGCTGCGCTCGCAGGGAGGGAGACCACGCCGCGCTGTATATGAGGAGGCTCAGGAATGCGCCGAAGACCGACGTCGCGCCCGCGCAGGCCAGGACGCGCCCCGGGTTCTTATTCATGACCTCTCCCGTCTATATTCCATCCACATTTTCGCGCCGCCTCGCTCGCCGAGCTGCCTCCGAACGCACGTTCGGGAGACGCCCGAAAAAATG